TATATTACCATATTCAAATCCATTCCAGTGGATTTCAAAATGTAAAAATGAAAATAAAAAATAAAATAAAATACATTTATTACAGATTTACCTATAAAACCAATGCTGAAAAAATTACTGATTAATGAAATATATCATACTTTTTTTTTTCTATTTATTTCAGCCATTAATCATTGCTTGTGCTTCTCATAAATGTCTTGTTGGACCTCATGCATCTGATCATTAGGCACTGCTGACATGTTTCTCATGCTGCTCGACTCTTCATGTTCACTGTAACAGCTCAGCTTAGCCTAGCAAGGTTACAGTATATCTTACCTGACTTGCATCTCACAGTGTGTGGATCTAACAGTCACGCTGGCCCATCACAACCCTTCCTCTCTTTATATCTCATTACTGTGAGTGACGCTTTGGCATTTGGGAGCTAAATGCAGGTAAACGCCGGCTGGCTAAATTGCTTTCTTTGCCCCCTGCTAGCACGAGACTCTGCGTCTCGGAGGGGAGCAGACAGCTCTAATAAGCAAACTGACCTTTCTCCGTGGTGGTCCCTTTCTCACTCAGCCACTGATCCACGGCCGCCGCGGAGCGCAACAAACAGAACACGCTAAACGAGCCGCTGTACCTCGAAGCCCGGTGACAAAAACACGTGTCTCCTACAGCAGGAGGCCTAAGGTCACCTTATTTACACCAAGACATACAACCGCACTTTAATGGTAATGGCTACTCTTAGGATACTTGAAGAATTGATAAGCAGTTTGGCTGTGGGTTTTTAACCAAATAACAATTTATGATCTTACTCAAGATCTGCTGACATTCTCACGAGTTTCACTAGTGTTCAATTCTACAAAAAGAGTTTCTGTGGGCACTTTTGGCCATGTGGACTCTTTGGAAAATAATGGTTCTTGAGACATTTTTCACACTCTCACACTCTCTTTTAGAACATTTCTACCACATTTTACACGTTTAAAAAAAAACGTCCAACTCTTTTGTCTTTCTGAGGCCAATTTTGAAGCTTAATTGGAATTTAAATACTGTAAAACTGTACAGTAGACATACAGTAGAAATATATCTTTTTAAAACTTAAAAAAAAACTCTGTTTAGATTATTGTAGTTTATATAAAACATGGTAACACTGTATTTTACAGTGTCCTTGTTACACATCTTACTTGTTCTGACTATAGTAATAACAGTCAATTATGCATAATTATAAGCAATTAACCCTAACTAAACCCTAACCCTAACCCTAGTTATATATTAAGTACATGTTCTTAATTAACATTACTCATTATATGTTTTATAATTACACTGTAATAAGGACACCTTAAAAATAGAATGTAACCAAACATGTAAAAATGTGCATATTTATGATGGATTTTCATAATTAAAAATCAAGAGTCTGGGACGGGGTAAAACAATAAAGTGAATAATAAAACCATGATAAAAAGTTTCCAAAACAATAGTTTCCGATCATTTTAATGTTGTCTTTAAAATTATGAAATATTTTTTTAATAAAAGTCAACACTATGGACATTGAAAGTGCAGCATAAAAAGTTGAAGAAACACCCAAAAACCAATGCCAAAACTATCCTAAATCACTACATCAGCCTTGGAATTAGGATTTCATCAACAACTGTGACATATTCCCAAGTAACAAATGATTTGCACAGTAGGACATACAGTACTGGACACTGAGGTATTGAGGTTTTTGCATCTTTCTATCTATAAAAGAGTAAATCTATTGGCAGTCCTGCCCATAATTTGAGGCGATGTCTCAATTTTCTGCTACAACTCAAGCATTTCCTTACTGTGCCCTCAAAGTATGGATATGCCAACTCGGGCGTATAGAGTTGGATGGGAATTCTTGGTGTAAGTGATCCCTTGTTTTTACGCCTAATGTGTGCTACGAGAGCTGTGAAAACCACCGACACTTTTCCAGAGCCTGTGGTATGGGACTCTTAGTTGAATCCAGCTGTGTGAGCTTTCTTAGTGACATTTGTGTGTTTTTGGTTTCCTGCTTTGGCCTTGAAATAAGAGACTGAGAGGTGTCAAGACTTCCCTTAAACTGCATTCGAATGGCACCTTTAACCCCGAAATCTGCTACCCTCACATTAATGTTGATCCTGAATGTTAGGAAGTTCTCTACAAAACCTCTAATCATGGTCAAGTAATGCTAATATTGGATAACTACACTAAGCACAGATGATTAAAGTCAATTTTCATTCTTCTCCTTTCTTTAAATTGGTCCTGTGGCGTTTCTGGAAGCAGCTGCACCTTGTATCAAAGCCATTAGTCCCAGTGAAGGCTGGACAACAGGAGGTGCTACTGTCATCATCATCGGAGACAACTTCTTCGACGGGCTGCAGGTCATCTTCGGAACCATGTTAGTCTGGAGTGAGGTGAGTTTGCAAGTCATATTACCATCTGTCCAGCTGAACTTTGCTTTTTGTCACTGCTTGTCGCTACAGTGTGATCTCATTAGTAATTATAGGTATTTATAAACAAAGCATGGTTCTTACACTTTTGTATGATTACATTGACAATGAAACATACATTATTAACATACTGACAGCATCTAAAACTTAGACACATTGTATGAAACTTTAGAGACATAGAAGAGTTTTCGAACTAAAAGCATTGTCACCTTAAAATTTAGTTGTCTATTACTTAAAATGTATAAAATTGAGGTTAGGCTTAGGACTCAAAAAGTATAATGGTAAAAAAATATAAGAACAGAAATATACATAAAATAAATTCAATATTTCCTAAAGATATTTATGTTGCTAAAGCTGTGTATTAAAGTCCACATATTATAAATACATAAATTAAATAATAAATAAATAAAATTAGAAAATAATAAGTCGTAATTATGATAAAATAAAAAGTCAGTAATTAAAAAAGTAATTAATGAAAAGTCACAACTCTGACATACTAAGTCATATAAGATAAAGTTATGATTATGAAACAAAAACTAGAAATGTACATGTTGTAAGTTGAAATTCTGACAAGTTGAAAAATAGGCTGTCATAATTATAACAAAACATTTTAATTATGAGATAAAAGTCATAATTTTGTGCTAAACAGTCATATTAAGCTTGTAAGTCAGCAGTAACTTTTTGTCTCATAATTTTTGTTATAATTTCAACGTTTTATCTCATAATTATTGGTAGGAAATAGCTTTCATATATATGTTCTTAGATGCTCATTTAAATGTACATCCAAATATACAAAAAATGTATTGTTGACCACAATGCTTTCATTTTCACATCACCACGTTCTTTAATAAAGGTGGGCATACACGGTGCATTTTTTGCTGTTGTACGAGCTCACAGGCGATTTTTTTCTCTCGGGAGAAAATCACAGATGCTCTCATGGTCGCGGCTCGTACCGTGTGAGAAGAATTATGGGCCGATCCGAGAACGTTACGAGCACCTTCCGTCCTCCTGATAATTTTAAAACATGTTAAAAAAAAAGCAGATGCTGTCGGTTTAAATTCGTGGCGTATGTGCGGTTGAACGAGACGATTTGGCGATCCATCTGAAGTTGACCAATCAGAAGATGACAAAAACCACATATTATGTATATAAATAGTCTATATAGTCATTTTAGTTTAATTATACAGCTCTATTTTTTATTTGTTATTCCGAATTGTGCCAAATTTGCCGTTCAGCTTTATGAATGAATATGCCTGTTGTATTTCCGGCAAAACTACTCGCCTCGAGTTGTTTATGAAGAACATAAAGTCCATGCTTTTCTCTGCATTTCAGCCATTCTCTTTGCCATGTCCTTCATCTTCGTTTTTTTTTTTTTGTTTTTGGACGTCACAAGCCATAGCTGCGTGCCACAAAGAAAACTATTTCGTCCTCAGAATCCATATTTTTATAAATGGCACGAAACATAATGCTTAGGCCTACGTCAGAGTTTGTAAAAATCGTAGTAAATTCGTGTCGTGTGTGACTGTCTCCGTACGATTTTCGGTAAACTCAATCGTGACATGTGCGAGGGTTCACGATGTTCCGACCTTCAGAATCGCACCGTGTACGCCCGCCTTAAGTAGTGATAGCTTAAGAAAGAGGTAAAGACGCTACATAAACATGTACATGTAGAAAACATGATATTAGCGGAATAATTTACTTCTTTACACTTTAGACTGTTGCGTTATTGAAAATGAATACACGCTTGTGTCATGACCGCTTTGCCACCTAAGGTGTATGGTAATTCAATGGCCCGTTGTCAATTATTCCTTACATACTATTTTCAAAAAAATTACATTTGGAAAAATTTGATTAGTCAAAGTTCAGATAGTCTACATTTAGTTTAGTGTTAATGATATCTTAAATACAACATTAATAAAAGTCCTCCAGTGTTGTTGGCTTAATGCAGTTCCCTTTCAGTCGGTCACTCTCGACGTCACGTCGGATGACCGACGAATTGGGATCTCGCTTAGAGGGACCAATCTACTTCGAGTGTAAACTAAACGAGCCAATGCACACCGAAAACAATTTTTTAATAGCACTGGCAGGCATTTGCATTTACATACTTGTCATAAGTGAATGACCTGGAATACTAGGCACAAACTCTGAGACACCAAATATACAATTCATTCACATTGATTCCAGTTTGACAGTTTGCTAAGCTAACCACATAAACCACATAAATACTGGGTAAAATGGTATATTTTTATTTAGATTGACTTATTCTATGATACTTTTAGTGATAGCATTGGATTAGTTTTGTAGTCAACAGTTAATTTCACTAGTGTGCTACTCCTACTTTTCCTGCCACTTTAAATGAATGTGCTATTCTGAATTCAGTCAGCATTTCTCTTGACTCCTTTTGCCATTTTGGATTTATTTTTCACATTTATTTTGCATTCTATGATTGCCTTGACTAGAATTTGGCCGCTATGAGCACAATTTTGCTGGCTACATTTTGGAACGCTTTTGCATCCGGAGTGCGTCTAATGCCATAAATGCTGTCAAGCTAAGTTCACTTGTTTACTGTTTTGAAATTAAATTTATGACTGTGAGAGACAAATGTTTAAAGATGTTTTAGACAACAGCTCATATGAACCACATGCACACAGACTGTGAGATGCTGAAAGACAGTGTGCTGTTAATTACGTCTCTGAGGAGCTACACCTGTCCTCTTCCAGCCTTCATCTACGCCATCCCTTCACCACCCACCATAAACAGCCTGATACTGATTAGACTAGATTCATACACTCACGTACAAACACACACATGGCACACACACAGTCAGATTGTTTACTGATCAGAACTGGATCAAAGAACATAATCAGCCAGGGCAAATGAACAACTTTTGCCAACAAAGTTTTTCTCAGAACTAACTTCACTGTTCTGAGACTTTTTTCATGAACTTTTGTCAATGTGATTTTTAGTGTCAGTATCTGTTGCCTTTCATTTCACAGCACAGGATAGTCACTAGTCAAGTGATTGTGTTTGTTGATATTATTTTCCTGAAGCTTCAGAGCTATTATTTAGTCACATGGCATTTACGGCTCTAATGATTGGCTCAAAACAACCGAACTTCAGAACTGAGCGCCCATTGTCAAAGATGGTAGATTTCAATTCTCATACTTCCTGTGCCAGCCAAGCAACTGCCATTGAGGGGAACGGAAATGCCAGGTATCTCCAGGTAAAATAGACCTCCTTGAGTCTAATGTCCTCTCTCTATCTCATTTTCTCCTCACAGCTCATCACGCCTCATGCCATCAGAGTTCAGACCCCACCACGTCACATCCCCGGGGTGGTAGAGGTCACGCTCTCTTATAAGTCCAAACAGTTTTGCAAAGGCACACCAGGAAGATTCATCTACACAGGTAAGCTGTTCATCTTAAAACAAGAAACGGTAACATTTTATTTTACGGGGTCCTTGTTACACGTACATGTTCTTAAACTCTAATCCTAACCATATAGTAAGTACATGTAGTAAGCGAGATCCCAATTCGTCGGTCATCCGACGTGACGTCTCCGTTCCCTCCTTCAGGGAACGAGGGTTACATACGTAACCGAGACGTTACATCTGTCACCTTTCCCGAAGCTGTCAATGACACCCATTGTCCTATCCGAATACATTAGCGTTGTGCTAGGCCGACATTATGCAGGTGATTTAGTTACTGTGCTTAAGTGATTAAGAAATGTGATACTTTCAATAGCTGCTCAATTGTTTTGACATGTCTTTGTACAAGAAACTGAGCAGCTTGTTTAACGCTGGCTAACTGCTCAATAGCGGCGGCTTTAAATCAGTGGTGGCCAATCACATACACAAACACATCGATCTGGAGTGTTTTGTAGTACTTGCTCACTTCAGACCGCCACTCTTCATGAGAACTACTGAGTGTTCATCAAGCACCAACCCTGATACAAATTTACCACTGCATATTCAGCTAACCTCTTTGATCTGCTGATGCTAAGTGCTAAACGAGCTAATGACTGTGTGTGTGTGTGTGTGTGTGTGTGATGAATTACATCTGGAACCGATTAAATACACTGTGCTGAAATCTCCCTATAGCGGTTCCTGTGGACCTCATAACCTTGTGACCTTTACCTCCTGACCCCGTGACCCCCGTACACGGGGGACCCATCAAGAGCCACGTAGTTCCCTTCTGCTGCAGTGCCAGCGGGGATCTGATTACCACAGATAGCATCTAACGAGGGAGGAAGAGAACAAGAGCAGGGGAGGCTCCAAGGAAGATCTGTTTCTTTAATTTCTTCTCCTCCTACCCATTCACCGTCTTCTGAACACAGTCATTTTTGTCTGTCATTCTCAAATAGCAGCATTCATTAACATTGTGCTCCGAAGACGTCCTTTTGTGGACTTCTAAGGGACCTTGTGTCTTTCTATAGCATGTGCAGTACTGTAGTAGTCAAATGGGCAGTTAGGAGGAACAAATAGCCACTAACCAAGGGTGCGTTTCCCAAAAGCAACTATGGTTGCAAGTTCCGTCATTACCAATAGAGTTCAATGGAACTTAGCACCATAGTTAGCTAGCAATGCTTTTGGGAAACTCACCCCAGACAGAGTACATACTGTGATGACTGTACTGGATTAAATTTAAACTTCAGTAACACTTTAGAATAGGAAACAAATTCACTATTAACTATGATTAAATATGAACTATTTCCCGCAAATAATCTTGCTTCTTAGGTAGTTTCTGTAGTTATGTTTATGTATGGGGTAGGCTTAAGGGACCTAGAATATGGCCATGCAGAATAAGGCATTGATATGTGTTTTAGAAGTACTAATAAACAGCCAATATGCTAGTAATGAGCATGTTAATAAGCAACTAGCTAATAGTGAATAGTGTTCCCTAATCTATAAAGTGTTACCTTTCTCTGGTCATGTATACAGAATACTTTTACTTTAATGCTTGCAATGCGTTTGTGTATGTGTAAAGTCTGATAACATACTTCATGTAGGAATGCAAGCACAAGCGTTTCTATTATAGTATTTATGAGTATTTTAAATTAACTTATTTTTTTGTTTTTTGTTTTCCTTTTAATTTGTTTACATTTTAGTAATTTTGTTATTTGCTTGCTAAACGGTAACATTTTATTTTACGGGGTCCTTGTTACACGTACATGTTCTTAAACTCTAATCCTAACCATATAGTAAGTACATGTAGTTAATATTACTCAGTGCTTAAATGTATAATTACACTGTAACAAGGGCACTTTAAAATAAAGTGTAACCCAAGAAACTTTTAACTTGATTTAGTATTCTCATTACAAAAACAAGTTGGTCACAGAAGAGGTGTGCTATTACTTTTTCAAATGCCGTTAAAAAATAAACTTCCCCTTGCTCTGGAGGAGGAACCTAAGTTATATCTAGAGAAAGGAATAGACTAGAACCAAACAAACGTGCAAACCCCATTTGCATTTCCTTCAAAAAATGTTAAAATGTTACGAGTATTTCTATTATTAAGGTTATAAGTTTCTATGCAGTGAACAGTATTTTCCAAATATTTGAGTATGTACAGGATGCATAAAATCCTATTCATATTTCTTTAAAAAAATCCACTTTTATTTAAAGAGATATGCATTTAATAAAACATTTTCTCAAGATATGTATTTTGAGAATAAATATAGATTTTTTGTATAGAATGCATAGAATTATTTGCTATATGAAGGACTGCTGTTGATTTTTCTCACAAGCACGCACACAAAACCACACTCTGTTAAGAAGTACAGCTTTGTTAGCTTAATTGCTGTTGATGGAGAAAATATAACAGTTAATGCTCATAAAACCTGTTACAGTTAAACAAGCTGCATTTTATAGGCGACCATATTGAAGCCATTTAAACAGAGAAACAAACTGACAAACTGTGCAGCTTACATGAAACCATTAATGCGTAAATATGCAAATAAACACAAAACTTCCTAAGTTAAGTTTGGCCTAGTAGACTCACACACAAATGACAAAATTACAGATTTCTGTTCTATATATACTGTGTACACAGTATGAATATACACTGCTGGACATGTATGTTTATACACTGTAATTGTAATTATACACTGTAATTAAAATTTTAAAAATATTACAAAATTACGCAAGGCCAAAATGCACATTGTTAAAAAAAACAGCCACACACACATATATATATGAAGAGTTCATTTGCAAAAACCGATAACTCCAGTTTTATTTTTTTTCAGAAATCAAGTTTTTTTTTTCTTCCCATTCCAAGTAATATCAATCAAACTGCAGTTGGGTTGTTTTGATTAAGTAATAATAACATAAACTAATACAGGTAATTTACAAAATTAAAGTTCATTGAAAGTTCTCAGCTAGCACGTCTTTTCTAAGTGAAAGTAGCCTTGTCACCTGACCTGAATACAGCGCGCTGATTCGCTAATATGGACTTATCGGCTTCTGTTCAAAAACAACAAGTGCGCTTGTCGGCTTCTGCAGTAAAACGTGAACTCGCGATTCGTGAAAGTGGAAAAAAAACGGCTTTTTTGACAAAACATGTTTAGGGTTCAGATCGCGCTATATGTGGAGAATAATTGTTCTTTTTTTTTAAATGAGAAAAAAAATTTTTTTAAGTGGAGTTGATCGGTTTTTGCAAATGAGCTCTTCATATATATATATATATATATATATATATATATATAAAAAAAGCTGGCATTTTGTCATCAGTTA